TGGGTTGGATAATCTGTAAAAAACATACAATAAAGCATTACAATTAATTAAAGAATATATATCCAATAAATTTAATTTGCGTGGTCGTATTTAATAATTAATGAAAATTGCTAGTTAAGGTCTATTTTCTTTAAATTTCTTATTATAAGGACATACCAGAGTTGGTACTGATAAACACCTCGTACAAATTTGAAGAGGTGTCTAACGATGATAGACAATCAGAATATGGACCTGAGATTCAAGAAGATGTCAGTTATAAATAAAAATTTAATTGTATTCTTCTATTTCACTTGGGTCAAGTCTAGTTACATACATATAAAGGATGATCCAAATTTTTTAATCTCCAAAACTTGTCTAGCGATTAATACTAATTTATCATGAAAATATATGTAAGTTCATAAAAAAAATGCTGATCTTGCGATGGGAAGTAATAGTTGGTAGTTATGAATAAAATGTTAAACCATTAACATTATTTTTGGGAAAAAATGCCTGACGAAATCTCTTCCAGACTGGTGTTATAGGAACGCTACTTTACAATGTTACACACACATATGTCTATTAAAAATATTTTCTCCATAAATTAATATCTACATGATGTCAATACAATGCAAATTTGTAATATAATTATAGTCACAAAAGTTATTCCTTCCGTCCAGAAAGGGTTGACCAAATTTTCTTTTTTGGATGACAGACAAAGATTTGACATTTCCGTTTAAAGGTAAGGAATGTGTGGCTAAAATCAATTCTCTCTCCTATACGCAAATTTCAATCATACAATTTTTACTTTATTAATCCACGTGAAAGTCAATTTTTGCAGGAGTACCATTAATGGATGTTCTTCATAAAATATTAAATGTATGGACTAAATCGTACGTTTTAGTCCACTCTAACAGGCCCTTTGGCAACACAGTTTTTTGGCTTATCTATCAACTTTTTCACCAACCACGTAATTTTTCCTTTTGCGCACTAAATTGTGTAATAAGCATAAAAGTAAGGTTGAAGTTACTTTTCTGTTGGCTGAAGTTACTGTGATCATTATAACTTTTTTGACGTATTTCATTCTTCTTTATTTTATTAATAAAACATATTTTAAAAATAATTTTTTCTTAAATCAGCAGAATCAGCCAATGTTGTCACTCCAGTCAGAAATTTATAAATTTTAGCAGAATCACTCAAATTAGCCGTTTTTTAGGCTACCAAACGGGCTCTTGAATCTTATGTTTTCTTGTTCATTAGAAAGATGGGCTTTTAGTGAGAAACAAACGGGCCCATTAAATCAATTGTTTAGTACTACATACGAAGTATTTGTTTTAGGAAACCTAATCGCTACAGACATAGAACTCTCGAAGGTCTTGTGCATTCAGGATTCTGACACGGCCAAGCCTCTTCACCTGAGTCGCTCCCACACTATTGCTTATGTAAGTAATTGTTTAATCAAACATATTTACTCCTTTGCAAGTCTTGAGAAGTAGAATCTCAAATTGGCTTAAAACAGAATGTTAGTTGAAGGGAATTCAATAACCTCTTCATAAATTTCTCCAGAGCTTGAAGATGCTATTGTTGCATTTAAAATTTCAAAAGTTTTATTGATTACTGATTACTGGTGCCTAAATGATCTTATTTGTGAAATCTTTGATTAGTTATATCTGTTTTTATTACTCATTTTTATGCTATTAAACTTTAGTTTGTGTTAGGTTGTTAATGTTTAAAAAAGATTTTGATTAAAATTTAGGGATTTTAATAGATTAGTAAATTAAATATATTTCATTCTACTTTAGGATAACTATGTTAAGTTCTTTCTTTTGTTATTCAAGTAATCATTTTATTTCAGGCTTAATCAATAGGAGCATCATAATTGGATTGAAGTATCATATTGTTTTAGGACAACTATGAAGCTTGTGCAGGAGATCATTATGAAACTGAGGCAGATATGTGATCAACTTTATTTAATGGGTATGTCTCATATGTGATGTATTAGTATTAGCTTAATTGTATATTCGTATATTTTTGACATTGTATCATTTTAGATGTATACGAAATCATCCTTCATATAACATCTGACATGCATACAGAACTTAGGACTTGTACTATTCACCTGAATAATTTGACATAATCTGATTTTAATGACCTTATCTGAACCTTATAGTTTAAATGCGATTATGTCCAAATATTTGTGCTATGAAATGAATATTTATGGTTTTGTTTTGTCTGATCAATATGTTTTCCATTCTAAGTATGTTATGGCATAAATATTTTTATCAGTGATGTCAATAGCGGGCAATAGCGGCGCTATAGCGGAATAGCGGCGCTGTAGCGAGCACTATAGCGGGAAGAATAGCGGCTATAGCGGATGCTATAGCGCCGCTATAATTTACATGGCTATTTTAGTGCTAGTTTTGAGGGAATTTGGGAGTATATGTTACTTTTAGATGTTGTTGGAGTAAAAAATAACTTCAATTCACCCTCCCAAACACACGGGGTAGCAAAAAAAACCTACTAAACAGTAGTAAACATTACTAAACAACTCAAACCAGAAATCAAGATTGTTCGAGGCATCCCAACAACCACAATTTTCTTATAATGAGATATTAATGACACGAATTATCTGGAACTTAATTTCTAATTTTTAGAGGTAAGGTACTTAAACAATTTGGTTCTTTTGTTTAAGACTCTAATGCCTCTTTATTGGTAACTTAGTAAGTATAAATTTCATGACGTTTGACTAACATATTTGTGATATGTGCATGACATGTAATGTATGCATACATATAATATGTATTTTGCATATACATTGTCTAAATAGCGGTCATCCCGCTATCCGCTATACCGCTATAGCGTTTTCGGGGTTGGCCGCTACGCTCCGCTATACGGGATTGACAACACTGATTTTTATATCTAAGATGTGAAAGAATCATTATGCGTAAATTCTACTTTTGTTTTAAGATGTGTTTAATCTTACTTATGATTCCATAAAGCAGAGGCTAGAGCCGTACATTTATTTTCTTCAAGTTTTTGTTTTATTCTTTTCTTTTTCTTTCAATCAAAAGTTATGTTCCGGAAATCATGTAATAATGTAATATCTGACTTTATATTGTTTTTGAATGATGATGATTCAATGATTTCACAACAGATATGGAATCCAGTCAGAATTCATTTATGTTGGAATTAAACTATTTAACTAACATATTATTATTTGACAATCAATATTCACATTATACAGAGTATAACTTTTTGACGTGCAGTCTTGTGAGTGAAATGAATATCTCAAATAAATGAAATGTATATTAAGGTGTAAACCAATACACTGACCTTTGTTATTAGAGTTAGGGTCTGCACTTTTCATTGATAATGCCAAATTTCTTCACTTTATCTTCAAATCAGCCTGTGCAGGGATAATTTTTCTATTAAGTTTTGGCGTCAAGTTCCCACTATGACATTTCAGGAACAGGAGGCCTGTTAAAAAAGTGATATTAAAGGTGATGAAAAAAAATTTAGCGATATAAAAATATGAAGTCAAAGTCGTGAGGCACACTCAATGCGATATGGAATTCCCAGCACTTGTGGCTGAAGACGCAAAAAAGGCGCTTTCCTTTTCTAAAGTAATATAATATATACTGTATAAGAATGATGCTCAAAATTAAAAAAGAAACAAAATGGCACAATGAAGAGTGTTGCACATGATAGAGTGTGCAACACTCTATCATTGAGTATATAAGATGTAGATACTAAAAAAAGAAAAAAAGAAAAAAGAAAGAATATGGAATGATGGAGAAGAAAGCTTACTATTTCTGCTGTCGATGTGGAGGAGAGGAGGAGGAGCGAACGGGAAGCTTGAGTAGAGCAGAGTAGAACAGGTTTACGTAGTTTTGTTTAGCGCAGGTTTATGTTGTTTTGACCTTATTTAGATGGGCTTTATTAAAAATATGGGCCTCTTGTTTGACCACATGTCTAGACTGTATCACTTAAATTAAAAATAAATGTGTTCCCCTATCACAACCGAATATCGAGCGCCTTTTATCGCTTTTGCGGTTCAGCTCTTAGGCAGGTGGTGAGCCGAATTGTTCTGCAAACGCTAGGGCTTGTGTGCGAAGAGTCTAGTGTGCTTAAGCGCTTAGGCTATCTACTTGGACTACACTGATACTGATGATGTTAGAGTACTTATATATTTTAATGAAGTTTTTTGTAACCCTAGAAATTCTGTTAAGATGAGGATGAAAGGTAATCATGAGGCCTTTTAGAATATAGGTAATTATAGATGTGATAAGATTCATTTATGACAGAATTTTAGGATGATAGAGAGTCGTTGGTTTGTTGAGGTATATTAACTAAATATTTTTATATGGCCTGAATTATATAAGAAATATAGTTGTTTACTTTAAAATTGGATTTCGTACGAATTTATATAATTTTGAATGTTTTTATTTCATACAATTCAGGAGAATATTTAAAATAGAAAACATAGTAAGTGGACATTTAATAAATAAAGTTGATGGGTATTTGGAAAATTCAGTTGCATTGAAATGATCTTAATTAATGAAAATCAGTCTCTTGCATATACAATTTTTTATGGTTTTTTTTCTATTGCAAATAAAATTATTTACTTTCTTAATTTGCACAGATAACCTTTATTTACATTAGTGTCTTGCTATAATTCTCGAAATCCGTAAGTCTAATGTCAGTTAAATATTGCTAGAAAATTATTATTGACCAACTGTTTTTGTCCATATATATATATATATACACACACACACACACACACACACACACATATATATATATATATATATATATACATAGACACATCAGTATTAAGCATGTTGACATGAAACTCGATATTTTATTAAGCATTTTTAACTTTATGACAATATGCCGTTCAACAAACAAACTTTATGCCAATATGATAGTTTTCTTGATCAATCATATGGGTTGTTAAATTTTATAATATATGTTTGGTCATTTCAAGAAGACTTTTAGAAGTGAATCAGCTGGTGAAATAGAAGATTAAAAATTGATCAAAACATGCTCCTAGAAGTAATTATTAATGAAATACATAGGAGTAGCGAATAATGTAGCAATAGAGGGTTTAAATCCAAAAAGCTAATCTTCAGTATGTGAACTGTTTGGAGCAATAAAAAATGAAACATTATTAATAGACGAATTGAATGAAATGGAATAACAGATAAGTTTCCACATTGGCTCAGTCTTTTTCAACTTTTATTCTTTTGAATCTAGTTCCAGATGCCCCATCATTGCTATCATCCAAATTTAGTGGCTTGAATTCACTACTGTTCTGCCCCAATGACTTCAATAGCTTAGAAGTAAGAGTTGAATTTGGAGTGGAGCTACTACTACTGGACTTAGAAGGCAGACTCTGCAGAATAGAAACACAATAAATGATTGGTATTTTTTTAAATAGCAATTTATATGCGTGAGAAGATGTTTTTTTAATGTAGTAAGTGATAACCTTTTGAGAGTAGTCAATCTCTGGAATTGCATCATAGCCTTCACAATTATTTTGCCCCTAAATATAATGTGAAGAAGTAACATCATTCTCTAATATACTTCGTGTTATAATTTTTTTTAATAAATTAAGACTCATTAAAGAAATTTTGAAATATAATACAAAATTGTACCAGTAAAGATTCCCTTTGCTCTTTGTATTCTTTTATCAGTTTCTCATCATTTGTTGCATTGACAACAGTAAAGTTGCGATACTTATTTGCAACGTCGGCACGCGATTTAACGATGAATAGGAACTCTTTATGTACGATTTCCGACAGAGACCTCGGGAAAGTTCTGTCCTCTGTTTCCTGCAATTGTATGAAATAATGCTTTTAATTAATTATTTTATTTGATTTCTATCAATACTTCTGTAAAGATACACAACATACCATTTCATCAAGTAATTCTTTGGCAGAAATACCGACTAAGAGAGGCCCCGCGTCATCAAATGCAATAAATACAGCTGTTCCGGTATCATCACTTACTTTGAATTTCAACTTGTAGCTATAAATTCATAGGCAACAGATAATTTTTTTAAAATAATTTATATTATGTTACAAAACATTAAATATAATTGAATAGAATGTCTAATATAAGAGAGAACCTGATGTTGGGGCTTTCAAATTCAAAGGCACAGTTGGCACAACTAATAGCACAACTCTCTACAGACTTCTTGCACTTTGGACAACTGTAGTACATCCACCCTTTGTCATCTAGGACACAAGCTATTGTACATAAAACTACATGCTGTGCGACCTGTTTATTGTTTGTTCAAAATTTATTATTATGGATTTAGCTAACAATTACTGGATTATGTGTTAACTGAAATTTGGAAGAATGCATTATACCTCTTCAAATACCACTAATTCGCTCAATGTTTTAGATGCATAAACATCTAAAAATGCCTTCGTGTCAAAACTCTTCTTCTTATCTTTTGTGTGAGATTGCTTCAAAGTTATAGAGGAAGAATTAGGCCGCTCAATAAGAAGCCTAAAAAAATAATAGAATATTAGTGGTATGTTAAAGTTATTAGGTGTAATTTTATATGAAATAATAATGACAACTCTACCTATCCCGAAATTCAGTGCACCATCTGTCTTTCCCATTCAGAACAATTATGCTATTATCAAAAAAAGTTGTAGCATGTGTTTCACCTTGAAATGGTGAAGAAATTAAAGTGTCATTGTTAAGAAATATTGAACGTCAATAGAATAGAATGCGTAGGGGTGACGTAGAAACTTTACTGTTGAAAACATCTGAAATGCCATATCTCATAGCAAACACAATAGGACTCGTAGGAGAGGTCAAAAGATGAGATTCGACTTCAATAGCTTTATCTCCCCACAAAATACATGGCAATATTGTGCCTCTGTTTGTCATAAAGTCATAATTCATGAACGTATATTCTTGTTAAACTGAGTGTTTGTGGTTAATACTGCAATTGAATTAAATAAGAACTCTTACTCTGTGTCTTGGAGTTCTAGACGTAACCTTTTACGTTCTTTGCCAGTTCTCTTGATTATAACGAACTCGGATGAAAAGTCCGTTATTTGACCAATTAGATCAATCAAGTACTCACGCTGGAACGCAGGACTCAAAATACTCTTGAAGTCAGTGAACTTATAGAATGTGGAGGGAATATCCAAATCGTCTAATTCACTTACTTTAGTGGAATTAGTAAAGTTTAAACGATATTTATGAGTCGAGGCCAAATACTTTCCACGATTGACACTGACATAAAATACTGAAATTTTGTAGCACTTATCTTCGGCTAAGATATGATCATACTGATCTATGAAATTCTTGCTCAATGTGCATTGGATAGAATCACCCTGAAAAATAGTGAAAAAAATCTAAATATTAAGTTTGAAGAGAAATTAAATATTTAAAAACCCATGACAATTGACTTACACATTCATCCAAAAATAACAGCTCTAAAGTTTTTTTAATGGCTGAGTCCTTCTCAAACACTGCCCATTTCCGCATGATTCTAACTTGTAGCTGCCAGCCTTGACGACTGATCGATACATGCTTTATGTAATCTAGTGTACCTGTATTGCAGTATATATCATTAAAAAAGAAACATAGTTAGTGTCTTGTGTATATTGTTTCTGTGATTTAATTTCATTGTTTAATCACTAAATGAAATAATTTTTCTTTTCATTCTTCTCATGCTGCCAGATTTTTAATCAACCTGACTACTATTGATGTTATAATAACATATTTGAAAAACTGGTATATGCAATTCACCCACAGATATACACACATACATACTTATTGATTAATCACTATTTTTGAGTGCATAGATACTGATTTCTCAAATCAAATATAGATGTTTCAGAACTTATTATATATTTCCATTCAATTCAAGGTATTTTGACTATCTGTCTTACCGTGTCAACTTTTTTCAATTTCCTCTCATACTTTTATCATAGCAATCTATTATTATCATTCGTACTGTTCATTAAGTACTACTAAGTTTTTTGGCAATTTGTATTTTATTTGTAGATTAAAGCAAGCACTTAAAGTTGGATTCAAGCATATTAATATTTTAGGACAACTATGTAACAGGTGCCAGAGATCATTATTCCTTGAGACAGATATGTGATCTATTCCATACAATTGGCATTTATCATTATTACTTCAGTCATGCATACTGAACATAGGCGTTTATGTTTTGCCTATAAAATCTGACAGTGATTTTTAATCAACCTGACTACGATTGATGTTACAATCACATATTTGAAAAAACTGGTATATTCAATTCACACACACAGTGATATACATAAATACTTAATGATTAATGACTTTTTGAATTTGTATGTGAATCGGTGATTTGTTCCATACATAGATTTAAAATTTATGCTGTCGGTTTTTAAATATTCGTAGATGTATACATGTTTATTAAAGATTAGTTTTATTTCTCTTAACAACAAACGCAAGTTTCAAAATATTAAATTTTATAAACAGCCATCGTGTTGTTTAACATTAAAGAAGTGTTGTCTAACAGATAGATGCCTATATTCTCAGCATATGGTATAGTTCAGTGATGGTATTCTACTTGATGCATATTTATAGATTGGTTAATCACTTTTAAGATAGTGTATCAACGTGTGAATAAATATAATCAATGTAAAGTCAATATTACCTTTTGTATGACAGGCAGCTTGAGAACTCATCAGTGCTGATTTTCTTCAAAGTATATCACGGCCACTGCTTATGAAATGCAATTCTGGGGTGAAGGCCTTCTCTATTTAATGTGTGTATTTGATAAGGTTAATTCCATGTGCATCGGTAATCTGTTAAATGCTCAGCTGTAAAAAATTATTGTATCTTGATAATGAAATTATCCTTTATTTATATTTAGTTGATAAAGGGAATATAATTCAGTGTTCATCTACTATGTTATTCGGTGATATATAGACTACCGTTAATGGGTTATGAGGTTTTTATGTTAAATCTGCCTTAATATATGGGAATTCCATGCTTATCTATTATCTCAACTAACGGTGATACAGTTGATTATGAGCGAATTCCATGCTATCTATTACTATTATTTAAATTTAAATCTGCCTTGATTCAATTAAAATCTGCCGTGATTGAATTGAAATGGTAAACATTTATGGGTAAAATCTGAAAAATGCCAATTTCAATGATTGGACTTAATAGCAATTTTAATCACAAATCAATTTCAATTGAAATGACTCTACTTTATTAGTACTAAAGTACACTAGTATTTGAAAAGTCAGTTGTGAGGCACCAATCCAAAGGGTTTTCCACAAAAGACTTGTGAAGTCAATGCTGCGAATCATTACTTGCAATTAATTCAATACGGAGTATATTACGTATGTATTTCTTATTTCACCATTGGATTTTTTTTTTTTTTTTTTTGGTTACACACCATTGGAATTTAATATCTGATTGACATTTTTTTATGACGGGCAATAAAATATGGTTATCGTTTTCGTCAATCGTACGGTCAAACGTTGATTAATTCCGGTAATATCAAACGATTGTTTAGAAAGCATTTCAAAGTACTTAACACTCATTGTATTCTCCGTTCGATAGCTTTCTGTACAACTTGAGTTTTTCATAAATTCAGCATGATGGGATTGCGTGACTCGCAATTTTTATCAATAATTTTTATTCCTTACGTATGATTTTCGTATGAAAATTTCCGAACACGTTTTTATACCCATCAGTACACGCTTGTGTCTGTGAGAGTATTTTTTTGTTTGTGAAGCGCAGTCCACAAACATAAGTGGACTTGTTTTGTCTGTGAAATTTTCCACAGACAAAACAAGCCAGCTTTTGTCTGTGGACTGCGCTTTACAGACAAAAAATAACTCTCACAGACACATGCGTGTATTGATGGGTATAAAAATGTGTACACCAAGAATTCTTCTTTCTTTTCGTATACATTTTTTTGGTGAAATAATCAATCATACTCCCTCCGTCCCGCTATGATTGTCCCATTTTATTATTTCGGTCCGTCCCACTAAGATTGTCTCATTCCTTATTTGGTAAAGTTTGTGTGGTTCTAAATCATTCCTACTTTATTCTTACTTTATCAATTCAATATCAACCACATAACCACACTTTTATTAATAACCGTGTCACCTTCTCTTGTCCCAAACTTAGGGGGGACGGAGGTAGTATTACTTAAGACTTTAAGAGGATTGTTCGGCATATATGAGTTACCATAGAAGCAGGAATCCGTTCAAATATCACATAGAAACGCATGTTCTGCTAAAGTATGAGTGACACGATCACAAATCTTTTATAAAAAGACATATGTCGCTTGAGAAGAGCTCTAATGTCATCCAAAATCAATGCACCTGTCTCGATCTCAACTTGTTGCCATCCTTCTTGAACCACTCCCAATACCACTGCTCTCGCTCCCAATGCCTCTGTTTCAGCTGGTGTCCAGTGAGCCTCCTTAGACTCAGTCCTTCCACATATAAATTCTCCTTCGTATACGTTATTTTTAGTCATAGTGAGACTCACGTTTTTAACAATTATTTTGAAAAAATAGGGTAAGTTCCCGAAATGGGACTAAAAAAGTTTGAAAATTCCAAAATAGGACTGTCATGTTTTTATTCCCAAAATAGGACTAATTACTGCCAAATTTAGAAAATACTGTCATGTTTGAAGTCTGGTACTGCCAAAACATGACAGTAATTAGTCCTATGTTGGAAATAAAAACATGGAAGTCCTATTTTGGAATTTCCAAACGTTTTTAGTCCCATTTTGGGTAATATCTCAAAAAATAATGATATTAAACATTACTACTATATACTAGGTAGTATTGTTATCACTATTAAGCATTGAAGGCGGGTAGAGAGCTTTTAGGATATTAATTTAATTAACTGGACTGCAATTCTTAGATCTAGTATGGTCTAAAGTGATCTTATCTGAGAAATGTATGTGTATGAGTATCTACCATTATCGAAGTCTGATCCTATCCGATGCTTATGATGTGGCACTTGGTTCAATTAAAAACATCGGACATCATCACCTTGATCCTAGCTAGTTGTGCGGGCTTTTACTTGAAAGTTTTGGAGACACGAGTAATTGACATACTACATACTTAAATTGATGTTCATGCTACATCATTCCTTAAAATGTTCCTAGTTAAAAAATAGATTCACCTTTTTTACATAAAATAAATATTAGGGAGTACTATAGAGTATATTGTTTACACGTTGCACACTTATACAGCTACTGTTATTGAAGATTATTGTGTAGCGTGATATCACTCTTTTTTACGGAGTATCATATTATCATATTAAGAATTTAAGATACATGACTTTAATTTAGGAATTTTATCAATCCTAGTGTCTCAAAAATAGGTTCACTATAAATAAGGGATCCCAATGATGAAGTGTGCCGATACAAGGCGTGAGACTGATCTGAATGTTTCTGATCTGAATTTTTTAAGTTCTGATCTGATCTGATCTGAATCTTTCTGATCTGATCTGAATGTTTCTGATCTGGTCTGATCTGATCTGAATGTTTCTGATCTGATCTGAATCCTTCTGATCTGATCTGAATCTTTCTGATCTGATCTGATTTGAATGTTTCTATGATTATAATTATGATTATAATTATAATTATAATAATTATTATAATTGCAATTACAAATATAATTTATATAAAATTATAATTATAATCGTAGCTATAATAATAATAATAATAATAATAATAATAATAATAATAATAAAAATTAAATTTAAAATGAAAAAATTTATACCTATTACACTAATTATAAATATAGATATAATTATAACTGTAATTATATTTTTAATTATAATTACTTATATAATTATAATTGTAATTATAATTACAATATTTATCTCTATAATTGTAACTATAGTTATCAATATCATTATAATTACTCCGTAAAATAATTACAATAGTAATAATAATAATAATAATAATAATTATTATAATAAAAATAATAATTATAATCATAAATTATAATTATAATATAATTATAAGTATAATTATAATTATTATAATTATAATTAATAATAATTATAATTATATTAACATTAATTATAATATTATAATATAATAATAGTACTATAAATACAATTAATATTATCATAACTATATTATTATATTAATATTATTATTACAATATATTAATAATAATATGATTATTATTATTAGTATTATATTATTATAATATTATATTATAATTATAATTATAATCATAATTATAATTATGATTGTAATTATAATTATAATTATTGTAATTATAATTAATTATAGATATAATTATAATAATTACAATTGATTATACTTATAATTATAAGAATTATAACTGTAATTATAATTATAATTACATATAATTATAATATAATATAATAATAATATTAATCATATTACTATTATTATATTGTAATAATAATAATAATAATAATAATAATAATAATAATAGTCTTCTTAATAATTGCATTTATATTACTATTATTATATTAAAATATTATAACTATTATTAATATCTTATTTCTTTATCATATTAATATTAATATATTAATAATAATTATATAATAATAATAATAATCATAATAGTAATAACAATATTAATATAATAATTAATATAATAATAAAAGTGATAAATCATGTTTGAACTTTTCTGATCTGATCTGATCTGAATGTTTCTGATCTGGTCTGATCTGATCTGAATCTTTCTGATCTGATCTGATCTGAATCTTTCTGATCTGATCTGATCTGATCTGAATCTTTCTGATCTGATCTGATCTGATCTGAATAAAATAAGAATAAGCAATAAGTAATAAGAATAAGACGAACAGAACAGCACCTTTGAGACCGAGTGTTTGGAAATTTGCTATCTAAAAAAGAATTCAAAACTTTAATAATGCTTGGGAGAATATTTTTTTTATTGGAGTCTTTCCCCTGAATTTTGAATGTATCACATACAAAAAGAATTGACCAAGAAGACCTGATGCCTTACGGCGTGACTAATTAAATTGAAGTCTAGTTAGACGGTTTTGAATATGGAATTTGGCTTGGAGATTCTATCCAAATGCCCGAATCCGCCTAACCTAAATAACAAAAAAATGATCAAACGAAATGATAAGAGGATGTAAATTGGACTATAATCACAATCTGACATATAGAGAGTGAGGTTCTGTTCCCGGTACTTGCAGAGACCCTCTTTTTGAGTAACCTCTCATACCAGTTGCTGGGAGTGGAACCCGGGACCTAACCCTTGTGACTCTCCCTCGCTACCAGTTGAGCTACGCCCACCAGCGCCTAACCTTAATAACAGCTTTCCTATTATGTGTCAAATAAATAATTTAGTTTATTTCAATGAGCACATTACTACACATGAGCCATCAGGTATTGTTCGGTTAAGAGTTGAAAGATTTGAATAATAAGTGAATAAGATTTAAATAGCTGAGTTAATGGAATGATGATCCATATAGAGACACAAAATATATTTTATTTTAGAGAAAATAGTATTAAAATAGTATGCTCACTAAATTTTAAAATTATATTTAAAACATGAGCCATGAGGGATATCAATGATATCCATTCATCTATTTGAGTAAAAAAAAAATTGTTTAGCTATTAAATTAAACTAATCAATAAACATTGTCACATTAGCAATGGTCTATCCCATGGGTTTCTTGAAATGCATTTATCTTTAAGGAAAAAAGTGCAAATAGGCCCATGTACTAACCAAAAAAGATCAAATAAGCCCTTATTTAGGAATTAGGAGGTTCTGTCCAGCCGTCGCCATTTGGGATGGTTCCCAGTGGAATTTTTTGATGAAATTTTTTGAGCATCGTATTTATTAAGTCTAGTTTACTCATACCAAATTTCAGCTAAAACTTCAATCGGTAAGGCATTCAAATGAATTCTCAAAAAT